ATATAGTCTCTATATCTGCGGGATTCTCGGGATACCGAAATATGTTTCCCACACTATGGAAAAACATACCTAACTCGTCAGTTCGGCTTCTTTTCGGATGCCTCCCTTGCTTGAAATCTTCAGAAATGGCTTAAGATCGCCTGAGGAAGAGAGGAGGCGGAGCTGTTCGGGTGGGACGTAAAAGGTGGAAGATTAGCGAAGATTAATTAGTAGATCAAGAATCAGTGTATAAATGTATCAGCTAATAACACTAATATCTAAAAAAATATCTTCTCGCTTACGGAAAAATAAGTAAGAAGAAAGTTCAAACCAATCAATTTCAGCACATCAAACCCAGACAAACTAAAATAAGAAAACAATTTTGATATCAACCAAAACATACTATGGATAGTAAAAAGTCTTTTGACCAAAAACCCACCGAACTCATAGTCATTTGACTCATTTCTTTTAGGCACAAGTTAGGGAAATATTAATTAACATTATCGATACACAGCTATACTCACAAGACATTTTTAAGGAAAAAAGAGCCAGCAATTGCGAAAAATAACAGATAACAGGGCCAGTAAGCTATGCCACAAGCATAAATCTTTACGGTTTCAGAGCAAATTCCGTTAGGCTGAAGACTCTGGTTCTAGCCAGAAAGTTCTTCCTCAATGTGAGAATATAATCTTGCATTGCAAGTTGCAAACTGCTTCCCTCGATTTCACCGCCACCACTCAAGACTCTACTCCTATCGAACTAAGATTCAACAACGTTTTTCCCTAATGGAAGAACTAAAAGTTAAGAGAACTAAGTCGCATGTACCGGAGCAGAGGTGTAGCTAAACACAACATCAAAACTCGACCTTTTCTTTTTGGGTCCGAGTCAAAACACGACCTTAACCCGGCGGTTCGGATGTATTCTCAGATTATCGGACCGTCCCATATACGATAAGCTTCGAAGACGGAACAATCGTGAGAGACAGAGGTCCATACCTCGTTCCGATTATGTGGTTGAACCGAAGCGGGATTCAGTAGTCGCGGCGGTCTTTGGCACCAAAACCGTGCCGGTCCTCTCACTGGTCTTTTGCCCCAAATGAAAGAGAAGACGAGTGTCGTCCCAGGTATTGACACCTAATTTTTAGCTCATTCTTTTCATATTTTCAAAAATTTCAAAATTAGTACTAGGAATCTTGGCCAAGCCTAGAAACCTATTTCTAAACCAAAAAATATTTTTTTAGCATTTTTCTGCATTTTTCCTTAATTTCTTTTAGTCAAAATAGGTGAGAAAATCAAGAAAAATAGCAAATGGAATCAGAAAATTCCATAAAAATAGTACTTAGTCTTATTTTAAATCCAATTTCATGAATACATCATCAATTTGAAAAAAATCTCAATCGGGTATATGTTTTTCCTAAAATTGGGCAAAATTAAACCCGAATTGAACCAAAAATGCAATTAAATTTTTTTCTAGTCATTTTTAAGTCATAGTGTCTTCACAACAAATTGCATAATGGTTGGTCCAATTGCACAATTTGACATAAAAATCAAAAATCCTCAAATTTCGATTGAAAATTAAGAATTTTGAACCCAAATTGGGAATCGTGCCCAATATGAAATTGTCGAAATATGAAACTCTCATTTCTAAGGTTAATCAGGTGTGGGTAATCCAATTTTGGCATCAATTTTGCCTAATCAGGTCATTAGGACATCAAATTGAACAAAATCCTATTAACTCGAATACAAAAATGAGAAAATCTTGGACACAATTATATTAAAAATTGGGGAAAATTATATATTTGGGTTCGGAATATGATGGGGAGTTCAATTTTGGGATTAAATTTGGAAAATTGGGTTAAAATCGGGTCGAATTTGAGAATTTAGACCAACCAGGGCCTGCCGGGTCGACCAGGTCAACCCGACCCGACCCGGGTTACTCATCTTCTTTACCCGACTCACCAAAATGTGCACTAAACCCAGGAAAACATTTCAAACCCGCTACTTGGCCGATTTTTTCTAGCCAATTTATCACGTGAAAAATCACACGAACAGCTGGAGATTCTCCAGCTGGCGTGGCTAATCGGTTATAACCGATTGGAAGTTGGTGAAACGAACTTTGAGCGGGAAAAATCGCAGAACAAAAACAAAGAAAAAACTGAACATTGCAAGGAGAACCTGTTCGACAGATTGCCAGAGAGAGAGGAGAGAGAAACAGCGAGAAAAGGGAGAAAACTAGAGAGAACGTGAGTTGAGGTTCCCCTAACCGAGCGATCGGCGCTTTTCCGGCTGGAAAAGCGCCGGCAAATCGGCTTAGGCAGTGAACTTCCTCGCCTGAAACAACCGGTGATCGACTGATCACCATAGACTGAAACTGAGCCGTTTCCGGCCAATCCAAACCTTTTCCGGCGAGACCATGACCACCAGGGTGAAGATCAAGTGTCAAGGAACAACTCTTGGGGTGCGGATCAGTTCGGCAATTCCTCTTGGTCATCAAACAAAGTAGGTAAAAATTGTTCATCATCACGGTTTTTTCGAAAATTCCAGAAAATATGAGTTGACTCAATCTAGTTGTTCATGTTGTTTTAATAGTGATTTTGTAATTCTGGATGTTCAAGACTTGTTTCTAATCACGTTTTATGTCATCTGATCGCATTTTGATTTGAAAATATGCATGAATCATCTCGGTCGTCCATTGAACGGCCTCACCGGAGCTCGAGAACCTTCGCCGGAGTGTCACCATGGCCTTAGGGCCATTCAAGTTAGTCTTTTTAACTTTGTTTGATGTTTTGGTTAGTCATTAGAAACGGTTTAGACGGCTAAGGCGAGTATGGTAATGGTTCAAGTTCTGGAAATTCAAGTTTTATCTAGAATTAGTTTAGGTTCTTTGGACTTGAATTTCTCCGACCATTAGAGGTCCGACGACATGCTAAATGGATTGGACTGAAAATAGAACATAGGAACATCACAATGGTGCAATCGGAACGGTGAAATAGTCACCGGAAGGTCATCGGCGATGGGCCCGAACCGGTGACCTCGAAAACATTGGATACAAAATAATGCTCACCAATTGTTTGTGAAAATGCCCCAATGAAAAATCCCAAAACGGCGCCGTTTTTGGGCGTTGCACCCACCGGAGACGGTGACTGGCGCCAGTGCCGGCAAAGCCTGGTTCGGTCAGGCCGAACCGGGTCGAACCGGGCCGGTCCGATTCATTTTCCCGGCGGGAATTTTAAAAAAATTTTAAATTAAAAATTACTAAAAAAATCTAAAAAAACTCATAAAAAAATCAAAAATCAGGAAAATATAAAAAATGTAGGAAATCAAATAAAAAATTCAAAAATTCACAAAAAAATTAGAAAATTCATAAAAATTCAAAAATTGTCAGAAAATTCATAAAAATTCAAAAATTTTCGGAAAATTGATAAAAAAATTCAAATAATTCAGAAAATACAAATGAAAAATGAAAAAAATTTGGAAAATCAATAAAAAAAATGAAAAAACTGGAAAATTCATAAAAATTTTCAGAAAATCATAAAAAATCAATTCTCCGTTAAAAAAAATTTCAAAAATTTTGAAAATTCACAAAATGGTCCAAAAACATTGTGGCCAACCATAAAAAGGGAATTTGAATTTTTGGAAGTACCCAAGTGGCATTTTTAGAAAATTCTAAATTCAGGGGTTATAACCCTTAAAAAACCCTAAAACCCTAAAAAATGTGAATCATAAAATGAATAAGCTTTTAGAGCTTCATTCGGGTTTGGGTGTTTTGATTGATTTTCGTTTTAGAGACCACTTAGGATTGATTGACTTGATTGACTTTGATTGTGCATTTAATACTTGTTTGGTCTTTCCTGCGATTAGAACGGATAGAATTAATGGGTCAGCCTCAGAAATTTGCATGACACGTTAGACATCGTATCGTTCTTAGGTACCGAAAGGGCGTTAGGGATCTCGATTCGGGATCAATAACGTAACCAAGTCCCCATACTCAGAATCTCTGGTTCGTAGAATTGTGATATTTCTCCCGTACCTCAATTAGGTTTCTAGTCTACCTACCAATAATGACTAGTGGCGGCTCCAAAAATCACAAACCTAGACTAAATAAGAAATTACCTTCCACTGTCTCGTGAGGTATGGTCTGGGAGAGACCCTTATACGAAAATACTTCCTTAGCGCGCAAATCCTGAAAGCCCCAAAAAAATAAAAGCGCGGCGCGACACCAGGGAGAAGAAAAGGAAGAGTGGAAGAGTGGAAGGACGCTCTGCGTCGGACGAGCTTTCTCAAAAAGAAAATGGGGAACCACTCCAGCACTTCTCAATCAACCCGAGGAATTCAGTAGTCGTTCCGATTATGTGGTTGAACCGAAGCGGGATTCAATAGTCGCGGCGGTCTCTGCCCTTTGGCACCAAAACCGTGGCCGGTCCTCTCAGTAGTCTTTTGCCTTAAATGAAAAAGAAGACAAGTGTCATCCCAGGAAGAAGAAAAGGAAGAGTGGAAGGATGCTCCGCGTTGAACGACCCTTCTCAGAAAGAAAATGGGGAACCACTCCCGCACTTCTCAAGCATCCCGAGGAATTCGCCGTGAGCGCAAGAGACAGAGAGAGAGACCGACGAGCGGCTGCAAGTGAACGTTCCGACCAAAAAGAAGTCTTGGAAATTGACATTGAACATTCCGACCCAAAAAAGAAAAAATTGACATTGAACGTGTTAAAAATTGTTTAATCGTACTGTGTTAACAAAAAGACACGTCACTCAATTACTTAAACGTGTCAAATGGCGTCTCAACGGATTAAGTAGATCGCCTCATGTGAGAGGATAAAATCTGTTTTCTGTCGAACTCAAGCCCGGTTAGCTTCGTATCGTGCTGTGTCGAGAGTTGCCGGCTTTATGGAGCCATCCTACCTAGTAATTTCTAGGGAGCAAAATGTCCCAGCTCCGCTGGTGTGTAATTCAGGAAAGAGCGATAATAAAAGTAGAACTCTATTTAAAGTTATATTTTAAGTAAGAGCGAGCACCAAGAGTGCACGGCTGAGAAAGGAGAAAGGAAAAGAAAGAAAGAGAGGAAGAGAGAAGGAAGAAGAAGAAGAAGGAAAAGGAGGGTTTTGCGCCACGCGAACCTCGCCTAGCCGATCCGACTTCGTATCGCAACGCCCGGTAAGAACTCATGTCCCTCGTTCGTTCCATCGGAGTAGTTTCGGATTTAGGGCTTGAAATTCGGAATTATAAGAGATTTGTGCGGCAAATTCCGATTTTTTAGTCGTTGAGCTGCGTATATATATAGAATTGATAGTTTAGGGTGTCGTGGAGCCGTGGGATTTTACGGATCTTGATTTGGACCTACGGTTTGCCCAATATGAATTTTTGAAGTTGGCCGCACAAGGTGAACAGTGCGCGACCAGCGGGCTTTAGGCCGATTTTCGTCGGTTTTCGGCTCGATTTTGGGACGGTCAAGTTGGGGCTTTTGTAATACTCGGAACGGGCTTTCTTTTGACTATAAGTTTGCTAGAATTGGAGTTCGATGGAGAAAGTTATGGCGCGATCAAGTTTTGTGCTCAAGCTCCGCGTTGCGGACGATTTGGATAATGGATTTGGATGAGCAATTTGTGGGCTCCTTTGAGTTGTCTTGTTAGCGTTTAAGCATCGTTCAGCCGTTTAGTGATTATTGTAGTATTTTACTTGATTTTGATGTCAATTATTGTTTAATTAATAGGATTACAAGATCGTCGGTTCGAGTGAGCGTCATTATATGATTTTTGGGGATTCAGGTGAGTGGTGCTATCTCTTCTTTGAGTTTATAAATTCATTTTTTAAAAGTGATAAGTATTTGAGTATCGTATGAGTTAATAAACATGTTTAGTGTATAAAAATCTGGATCGAGCAATTACTACTATTTTGTATTTAAGAAAGATTTGAGAATGGTTGTACGAAATGTATTATTAAAGGATATATGTGTACCACTTTGTGAATTGATTTATGAAATGAGTTTTCGAATTATTTGAGAAACACTTTACAAAAAGGATTTCCGGTGATTGAGTTGAGTTGAGTTGTGAAATATCATATACTTGATTTGTGAAATGTGTTCTGTTTGACGAAGAAAGATTGTGTTTTGTTTTCTGAAAGCAATTTGTGATATTGATTGTGGATTGTGAGATTTATTATGGATTTGGTATTGTGGAATATTGGAGGATGTATGTCTGGTGCTCAATATCGTTGTGAGCCCATTGAGAGGCTTGTGGGTATACGCATACTAGTCTAGGATATCCTTGTGGGCCGAGCCACCGGTTTATAGTAAGTGGAGACCTTGCCAAGGGGAGAATCTTGGTCGCCTTATCACGGGGCGAGATACGTGATCATGGTTTGATATTGAGCAATAGATTGGTTGATGGATAGACCATCGATGTGTTTTCTGCTGTGCCAGGCCAAATCCTTGAGAGCAATGGTAGTGCGGCTGCAGCTCAAAAAGGATAGTATCGGGTCGGGTTGAGGGATGGCAGTGCGGCTGCGCCTCTACCCCGAACGAGCCCTTTTATGATGAGATTATGGATTTTGTACTTGGTTTGCCACGAACCCAAAGAGGCGTGGATTCTGTTTTCGTTGTGGTTGACAGATTTTCCAAGATGGCGCACTTCATTCCTTGCAGGAAGACTTTTGATGCAATAAGTGTGGCCAGATTATTCTTTAAGGAAGTGGTTCGTTTGCATGGCATCCCTAAGTATATTACCTCGGATAGGGACAGCAAATTTCTAGGGCATTTTTGGCGGACCTTATGGAAGCTATTCGATTCATCTTTGAACTTCAGTAGCACAGCTCACCCGCAGACTGATGGGCAAACAGAGGTGGTCAATAGAACTCTGGGTAATTTAATTCGAAGTATTTGTGGTGACAAACTGAAGCAGTGGGATATTGCTTTATCGCAAGCAGAGTTTGCTTACAATAATGCAGTTCACCGTTCTACTGGTAAGTCACCCTTTTCAATCGTTTATACAAAGGCACCTCTGCATAACCTAGATTTGGTTCAGTTGCCCAAGCAAGCTAACAAGAGTGTAGCAGCGGATCATGTAGCTAAGCAGATTGTAGAGGTGCATCAGGAAGTCAAACAGAAATTGGAAGAGGCTAATCAGAAGTATAAGGCTACAGCAGATAAACACAAGCGAAAGCTGGTATTTGTAGTACAAACACTTAGTCAATTTATACATAATCCGAAACAGTCTCATATGAATGCTGCTCTAAAGTTTGTGAAATACTTGAAGAAATGCTCTGGACTTGGAATACTTCTTTCTTGAAAATGTAATATGGAGATGATAGCTAACTGTGACACTTATTATGCAACTTGTCTTATGAGTCGAAGATCTATCACTGATTTATGTATTAAACTTGGAGAATTGTTGCTTTCATGGAAAACGAAGAAGCAGTCCATTATGTCCTTATCATTTGCTGAAGCTGAGTATCAAGCCATGGCTAAAACCAATTGGGAAATAGTATGGTTACGAGGCCTTCTTCTAGACCTTGGGATACAAGTTAAAGGATCGGCCCTATTATTTTGTGACAACAATGCAGCACTCAAGCTTGCAGCGAATCCCATAGTACATGAAAGAATGAAGCACATGGAAGTTGATTGCCACTTCACTCTAGATAAGATCCAAGAAGGGATAATCGAGACAAGAGGAAACGGGACCACAGAACAAACTGCGAACATCTTCACCAAACCCTTATGTCAAAGACAACACGCATATCTATTGAGCAAGTTGGGCATCTTAGGCATATACAAGCCGCTAGCTTGAGGGGGAGTACTGGAAGATATGCCAAAGATTTATGTCATTTGTTCGGATTACAATTGATACGTGAATCAATCAGAGATTGTAATTGATTGGTAGAATCAATCTAGGATTAGAATAGATATATTTTTTCCTTTCATTTCTCACATTTTGTACTATATATATCTAACGTTGTACATGGAGAAAAGATATTGAGAAGAAATACAAAAAATACATTCTTCTTCTTCAATTTCTGTCAAATACGACTCAACTAGGCACGTCGGTGCCAAGCTGGAGGATCGGGCTAGCTCAAACACTCACCAAGCAAGTGCTGAAGTGAAGCCAAACGACAAAGAAGCTTTTGCGGATCTCTCATCAGAGAGGATTGGTCTCTCTTGTCGGAGAGGATTGGTCTGGGCGAGGGCTGGCGACCCTCCTCCAGAACCAGGAGACGGCGACGACCCTCTTTCAGATCTAGGCAAGGGCTAGCCCTCGCTGAACCCTCGCCTCTGATCAGCGAGGGTCGCCGGCCTTCGCCGACGCCCCACCAATGATTAGAGGTGAGCAAGACGAACCGATCGAACCAGGAACCGCTCAGACTGGACCAAATCGGCTGGTTCGGTCCGGTTCTCAGGGATGCCGATCCGATTCGGGAACCGGACCGATTGTTTTTTTATTTTTATTTTTTACATATAAACCTAATAATCTAAAATTTCACGCACGCCTCCTCTCCTCTTTCGGAGAAGATGTAAATTAACCCCTCAAAATGAGAAGATGTATTTGCTCACATTTCATGATTGGCACCAAGCAAAGAGAATCCAGAATATTTAAGCAACACTTGCATAAGGAAAACACTTTAAAAAGACTATATATCGAGGGAAAAATTACTAAAACAGTCATAAACTTATTGCAATTGTGTCAATTTAGTCCTAAACATTTTGCATTTGTGTCAATTCAGTCCATCCGGCCAATTTTGGCCGGCTAGTGCTAACGTGGACGCCGGCCGTTTGGCCAACAATGACGTGGCAATTTTTAAATTTTAATTTTAATTTTTTGATTTTTTTATTATTTTTTTATTTTATAATTTCTTTTACCTTTCCTTTTCCTTTTCCCTTTCTTTTTTTTTTCCTTCATCTTCATCTTCAACCTCTAGCCAATTGCCAGTCCGGTGATTGGCCAGATGCGGGGTCGATAAGGTTGGCCCCGTCGATCACTGGCAAGGCTCGACCTCTCTGTCGTTGAGCGAGGTCGGCCTCACCCAGTGACGGCGAGGTCAGCCTCACCCACCCCTGGCGTCCTTGCCAACAACTGGCGAGGTCAGCCTCGCCTACTCCTGGCAAGGGCTCGACCTCGCCTTCTCTGGCGAGATCGGCCTCACCTTCGCTGGTGAGATCGGCCTCGCCCGCCCCCAGCGAGGCTCAACCTTGCCAGTTGCCGGCAAGTTCGAACATTGCCTGGTGATGGCTCATCCTCACCGGCACCCGCCTCTGGCCTGTCGTCGGATCGGCGACCGGCCAAAGGTTGAAGATGAAGGAAAAAAAAAAAGAAAGGGAAAAAGAAAAGAAAGGAAAAGAGAAAGAAAAAAGGGAAAAAATAAAATAAAAATTTGAAAAAAATATTTAAAAATTGCCATGTTAACGTCAGTCAGCCGGCGTCCACATCAGCGCCGGTCGACCAAAATTGGCCGGATGGACTGAGTTGTTACAAATACAAAAGGTTTAAAAATGAATTGGCACAAAAAAAAAGTTCAAGATTGAATTGATACAATTACCATAGGTTTAAGGCTGTTTTGGTAATTTTCCCTATACTAAGAATATCATGCTAACGGATGAGACAATAAATCTTTCGATTCTGGTGATATAGCATGTAAGGATGTTATTTACATCAACAATAGAATTTTAAGTCTTCAAAAAGATTATGCTAAAGCATCTTTTGGAAATTGCATGAACCTGCAACTATCCCAAAAACTATATAAACATCTTCCATATCATTTTTATTATATGCCTCTGACAAGAATGACGGAAAATAAGCCATAAGAGGACCCAGAACTACCAAGAAACAGGACACATAAATGTCTCCAAGAATACCTAATTTCGACAAATACACACTTTGTCATTGTTATATTTGTAAAATCCATACATGGAACATGATTACGAAGAAGATGATACATCGAGACCAAGTTGAGCCAGTCCTGATTATGCAAGGCAGGAGTAACAGAAATGAGGAGGTGCGGGAGAGAAGTAATATTGCAGCCCACTCCGTCATGAGTAGTGATCACTAGCTTTGGTCGAAACCTTATTTTGAGTCGTATGCTCCCTGGTTCGGTATGTGCCATTTTTGGGGGAAAGATTTACCTTCGCAATGCTGAAATTCGGAGGCGGAATTGCCAAGTGATCGGTCGGTCCGGTTCCCAGTCCCAGGACCATCCGGTCCGGTTCCCGCTCCTAGAAACTGGGAACTGGTCCTCCCAGTCCGGTTCTCGATTCTTGGGTGAGATTGAACCGGACTGGGAACCGATCACCCCTACCGGTGATGGGGCGGCGACCACAGTGGAGAGCCTGGATTTTATTTTTTTTGTGTATTTTTTTTTAAAGTTTTAGCCTTTTTTTCCTTTTTTGAGTTTATCTTTTTTATGGAAAGAAAAAAAAGACAAAAAGGAAAGAAAATTAAAAAAAAAATAAGGCCGAATACCCAAAAAAACCCCAAACTTTAGACTTTGTCCCAATTATATCCTAAACTTTTTTTGTTTCATAAAAAATCTCAAACTTTTACTTTTGTCCCAAATCTACCACCGTTAACTTTCCGTCCAATATGGCCGTTACTAATCCTACATGGAATTTCCACGTCATCATTTTTTTTATTTTTTCTCTTTTTTTATTTTTCTTTCCTTCCTCCCCTGGCCGGACCGGCCAAGGGAGGTTCGCCTAGCCATGGCGAGCTCCACCCTCGCCAGATCTGGGCGAGATCGAGCTCACCCAGCCTTGGCGAGCCGTCCTCGTCGCCGCTGGGCTCGCCTCCCCAGTGGTTGGCGAGGTCACCTCGCCGCCTCGCATCCCCCTGGCCAGGGGGAAGAAGGAAAGAAAAAAAAAAAGGACAGCCATGGCGAGGGCGGCTCGGCATGGCTAGGCGAGCTCCGCCCCGGCCGGAGCTGGGCGAGCCTTGCCTAGCGGCGGCGAGGGCGGAGCTCGCCCAGCCATGCCGAGCCGCCCTCGCCGCCGTTGGGCGAGCTTGACCTAGCCCAGATCTGGCGAGGTCGAGCTCGCCCTTGCCAAGGTTATCCTTTTTTTTTTTTCTTTTTCCTTCTTCCCCTTGGCCGGGACTGGCCAGGGGGAGGCTCGCCAGCGAGGTGACCTCACCGACCACTGGGGAGGCTCGCCCAGCGGCGGTGAGGATGGCTCGCCATGGCCGGGCGAGCTCCGCCCTCGCCGGAGCTGGGCGAGCCTCCCCTGGCTGGTCCGGCCAAGGGGAGGAAGGAAAGAAAAAAAAAAAGAGAAAACATTTAAAAAAAATGATGACGTGAAAATTCCACGTAGAATCAGTAACGGCCATATTGGACGGAAAGTTAACGGTGGTAAATTCGGGATAAAAGTAAAAGTTTGGAGTTTTTTATGAGACAATAAAAAGTTTATGATATAATTGGGACAAAGTCTAGAGTTTGGTCCTCCCGATCCGGTTCTCGATTCTTGGGTGAGATTGAACCAGACCGGGAACCGATCACCCCTACCGGTGATGGGGCGACGACCCCAGTGGAGAGCCTGGATTTTTTCTTTTTTGTGTTTTTTTTTTTTTTAAGTTTTAGCCTTTTTTTCCTTTTTTGAAAAAAAAGACAAAAAGGAAAGAAAATCAAAAAAATAAAGGGCGAAAATTCCCTTAAGCAAGGTCAAACCATTAAGTTTACTTTAGACCCTTATTTGAAAAAATAAAGACACTTTGGATTCTTATTTGAAACAATTTATACTTCGGGCTCTTATTTGGAATTTTCCCATATCAGCCCAAGCACGTGCCCAGGCCTTTTTTTAACTCAAAAAAATAAATTTTAATTGAGAAAAATACAAAAAAACTAATTGATAAAATGTGATTTTTTAAAAATTGCACGAAATTGAAATTTTTTTTTTTGCAATACGAAGAACAATACTTTACACATTCAAAATATGAGGTAACAGTTACTAAAAAGTAAATGAAATTTGATACTAAGAACAATTCATTCCATATTCAAACAGGTAACTAAGCTCGTCCGACTTTAATCCTCGTGATCAAGACAGTGATCACAACACAAACAACAGATGGAATAAACAAAATGTTTGAGGAACTTTTGCAACATGGCCACCACCAACTGAATTCAGGAAGGAATCCCGTGAGAAGTTGGCCAAAGGAGTCAAAGCGCATCTCTTCCAAAGTACTCCTGAAAGCGTTCCTCTTCTTTGCAAAACTTGGACACCACTCCATATGTCTCTATCAAGAGTCTCGGATATCGTTTAGTGAAGTATATGTCCTGCCAAAACCATCGAACCCAATAACAGATTCGGTATGAGCCACAAGTTCACACAATCTGACATATGAAAAGATACTGAAAAAGCCTTGCATGCACTGTGCAGCTGCATAATGACCAACAATTTGAGACAGAGTACCTCAACTTTTTCTGAAACTTCTTGGTAGAGCTCCCAGTTATTTCGCACTGATTGCAACAAGTCTCTCACTCGGCTAAAGTCATTTCCATCCAAAACCAGTGGTGCAGTATTCTCCATTGCTCCCAGAAGATCTGAATTGGGTGCGGTATCAGCTTCCAGTATTATTCTATCGCTGGTGTCAACAAGAAAGGAAATTCTCTTCTCTAAGCTCCAAAAAAATGGATGGTGAAGCACCTCCGATGCCTTTGGCCTACTCATGAAATTAGAGTGATACAGGAAAATGGAAATTAAAAATGGTGACAAAATTCATCAAACAGAGTGATGCAAATTAAAGATTACACTCTCACCTCAATTTAGGAAGCGGGTTTAGCAAATGCAAAATTAAATCATGAGCTTCTGGCATGAATTCCACCGAGGACAGATCCATTTTGTTATTCCGAATATTGATGTCACGTTCTTCACCTTCACCAAATGGATGTCTTCCACCGGTAAGACAAAAAAACAACACAGAGCCTAAGCTGAACAAATCCATCGCTGATGTTTGACGCTCATTAAGAAGCTGCTCAGGTGCTCGCCATCCTGATGTTCCACAACCTGACATAAGAGATCACAAGATAAATATGATGGTTTCACCGGTCAATAAAGAGAGACAGTGGCATTAAATCTTCACAAACTTTACCACAATATAAAAAGCAATACAGAGAAACCATAATCTATAAAAATTGAGATTGGTCTAAGCACTTACAGGTGGCATGATATCCCAAGGAAAATTTATCCCATTTACTAATGCCTATATCAGAAAGCTTAGCAACTAACGGTTTCCCAGTGATCAAGATATTTTGAGGCTTTAAGTCCCTATGGATTATTTCCAAATAGTGCAAATGATTGAGTCCCGATACCACTTCCCTGCATCATAGTATAAAGTAGATATTATGACATAAACGATATAGAATCCGCCGTCGTATCAATCACAACACCGTGTGCATAAGATGATTCAGCAGAAGAAGTGACATTCCTATGGATCTAGAAAGGAAGCCGGATTACATTAGGCTAACCAGAGTCAAAGTGGCCTATTAATTTGCCGTATCATGCATACCCACATGAATGTAGCGTCAGCATATGCACTACAAATACATATCAGCACATCCACTACAAATACAAATCTGTGGCAGTCAGTGTCAGCATAAGCACTCCAAATACAAATCAATAAGCAGAGCAAGATAGTGAAGTTATCTTTTTATTCAAATCCAAATCATAAAAATTACCTTATCAGTTTCAGCAACAAAGGTGAGGGATGCCCATCAGTCCACAAGTTAACATCCTCCATCGTATCTCTAAGAGATTCCAAATTGTTTTTATATTTAATCATCGATGGTGGATAAGAGGCAGACAAATCTGAGTCTGAAAGTGCTACGACTAAATCATATAAACTGCAAGTACATCTCTCCAGCGCCAGATACAAGAAATCCAGATCAAAATTCGCTCCATAATACTCCACAATATTTGGATGAAGTGGGTAATGTGCCATCAAACGGTAAATCACGTCGAAGGAAACATTAAGATGACCCCGGATTAATCGCTTCACCGCAACAGGTAGTTCACCATAAAGGCCCTCGAAAACGGTGGTACCATTACTTCCCTTTCCCATCTCTTTCCTTGACATGAAGAGTTCACCACTCCTGCCCTCATTAATAATTACGATCCCCAATTGAATCGTAGTCCGTTCCTCTGCCGTCGGTATTTCGTCCATTCTCGTCCATGGAACAGCGCTTGCAATCTCCGGGTCATCGCCCCCCGAGAGGTCGAAACAGGGGCGAGGAGGAGAGGGGGAGAAGATGAGAGGGCGAGAGGTAGAGGAGGAGAGGTCGTCCGTCCCCGTTTCCGGCGTCGATGCTACGTCGTCGTCGTCGACTCTCTTCCTTTTGTCAGCCCTCCCTTCCCCGGGATCTGATTCGAGCGATGTAGCTAATCCCTCAGCCGTATTATGTGGAGGGCGCACAATGGAGTGGCCCTGGCCCTGGCCCTGGCCCACCGGGTCGTCGCCAAGGGGGAGGGGGGGAGAGGGCGAGAGTGGAAGAGGGCGAGAGGGAGAGGGAGAGGGCGAGGGCGAGGGGGAGAAGCTCGCTTCCGTCGTCGATACGTCGTCGACTCTCCTCCTTTTGTCACGCTTGCCTTCATTGGGATCTGATTCAGGCGAAGCTGATCTCTCAGCCATGGAGCGCTTACAAGCAGGTCGCTAGGGGGAGAGGGGTAGAAAGAGAAGGCGAGCTTACGTTAGGGTTTCGTTTTCCATTTTGTTTTCCTTTTATGTGGATCTCCTAACATAAAATAGAACGGCGGCGTTTGACAACGGCGGATGCGAGGAGGATCTAGAAAAATTTCTCCCACTCCCTTTCTCTTAGAGCGATTTCCTTTTTTCTTTTTTCTTTTTTTATCCTCCTTCTATGAGAACGTCGATCGATTTCTTCTAGAATCTTTAGATATATATTTCATGCAATCAATTTCCATTTGATGATGATTCAATGGTCATGATGCTTTGCTCGAGAGGGGCATCTAGATATGCGACATGGCACGATCATTTGGTAATTACAGAAAAGATTATTTGGTAATTATGGAGACAGCAATTTTGTGATGGCCGGCTTTATAGAAAAATAAGCGGAGCTTTGCTTTATGGTTGAGTTTTCGTATACATCACCTCTTTCAAGTACTTATCGTTTCAATTCCTGATTCCTACAAATTGACTCTTACAAAGAACTAAAAAGACAAAGAAAAACCCAAAAAAACAAAAAATAACCACCTGCAAATATAAAAAGAAAAATGATCAAAATCACATATATAAAAATCGGAAATTTTTTTGAAAGAAAAGTAAAGAAATTTTTACTTTTTCCAACGTGAAATTTTTTTGCTATCAATATGGTGGACAAGCGGAGGCCCACCCGATTGTTCTTAAATTATTTGGGCCGAGCCCACCTACCGGCCTTGATCAGGTGTAGTCGGCTTGCACGCGCTCGTCACGTGATAGACACTCCGTCTTCTTGCTCGATTGATTATTATGTCAATTCTCCAAAAGCATGGTAAGGTTTTGTGAGTTGATGGTCTTGTATATTGTCTCACCGGTGCAACATAGGGACCCGTTTATTTAGAAATAGAATGTTGGGGATGCTTGTGCATGTCAAATAGCTATCTAAATAATTCTTATGCTTGAGTTGTTGTTGGGGAAAAGTGACAAAAAAGTCATAAACCTTTGCTATTGGTGTCAATTTAGTCCTAAACCTTTTTTTGATGTCAATTCAGTCATAAACATTTTGCATTGGTCCCAATTCAATCCTAAACATTTTGTCTTTGTGCCAATTTAATCCTTCCGGCCAATTTTGGCCGAATTTTGCTGACGTGGATGCCGACCGGTTACCGGCACTGACGTGAACAACTTTTAATAATATTGTAATATTTTTTGAATTTTTATTTATTTTCTTCTTTTTTTTTCCTCTCCTCCCCCCTTCCTCCACCCAGCTGCCGGCGAGGCTCGACCTCGTCGGATGATCTGGCCTCGCCCTCGCGGCCATCCGGTGAGGGCGAGCCTCGCCATGGCTAGGCGAGGCCCGACCTCTCCGGATCTGGCGAGTTCGTGCCTCGCCCAGCCGCCGGCGAGGCTCGACCTCGCTAGATCCGGCGAGCTCCGACAATTCTTGCTCTCCGCTCAAAACTTGCCGAATGCGCTTTGGCAAGAAATCTTTTTTTACCCAGAAGAGAAGCATCAACTCCCAATGCTTTGCAGCAAATTAAAAGAAGGTAATTTTGGCCCCTTTCGGCATTTTATCATTGATGGATCATGCCATCATCAACTATAACAGAAACAAAAGCAATGCCCAGAAATGCTGGTGAGTATCTGAATTAAGGCAGACTAGGAACAAAGCCATTCTCTCTCTAGGACGAGCCAAAACACCTGAAATGAGGAAATCCCCATACCTCACCATTTATCAGCCATGTAGGGAAGCCTTCTATACCAACATTAGCACATTGCTTGGCTATTTTAGTTCCTTTCTTGTATCAATCAGGAAAGCATTCCACATAGTCCAATATCTTTGCTGCCTCACACCCAAACATATTAATGCGAATCTGTTGAGGAGTAATCTTTGCTTTACCGACAATTTCATTAGCATTGTGTCGGCTATGACTAAGTTCATAGCTGGTCACAACAGCATGTTCACTAACAAAAAAAGAGACGCTCCTCTATTCTACTTCTCCATGATCCACTCAAAAGCCAAACCGACAATAAGATAGACGGTACACGTTTCTGTAAAGTATATCCTCTTCTACAATTTGCAAAGACTATTAGTTCTAACCTATATTCTGAACTTCAGACGTTCTATGTCAGATCAATTTGAAGAAGATGGGCACTCGAGTTTCTCTAATGCCCACGCCACGATTCCATAGGATAAGACAGATTAAATAGACACTGAAGAGGACCAGTCACCTGCTTTTGTTCCAAATAGTGAGAGCACCAAAAAGCACCAAACATTTTTGCACCCATAGGGTGCAAATGCCTTTGCAAGAGAAGCAGCAAATGTGCTCGATGGCATTGTAATCTCGATTTTGAAAAATGGTAGTTCCGTTTCAGCAAAACTGCTCACATAAAGAACAGAAGAGATAGTAGCATCAGGCAAATGCATGCCCCCCAATACGAATTCGGTATAATTTGTCCTAAAATTCAAAAGAGATTTATGGTGGTTATTACAGAAGAAATTTACAAGCGAAGCTTTTCTATTGCAATTCCTTCCAAGAAACACAATGTATCTCAACGATCAATAGAGTGAATTGACATTAAATAATGCTCCATTTAGCTTAGCCAAAAAAATCGCATGTACGACACACTATGCAGATGGAATGGAGACTAATGGACGATGCACAGTTACCTTCAAGGGCCCGATCGAAAAACTACCACCAAGCTCGCCATGCATATGTAACGGTCCAAAAGTTTTAAGGTTAAATGTTACCCAACACAACCGATTGAGCCTCGACATCTTCCAAGAATCTTTCTCGAGTGCTCCAGAACCTTGTTGAGGGTAATATAGGGAATGTACACAAGGGCATTCTAGAGTATTCAACGGAGGTAAAATGGAAAATATATTTGTATTCTAGACGCTTGTCATCAATCTATACCGTTAAATTGGGTTAGAGATCAACGGTTGTAATAAGGATGTCCTCTCCCTGTACTCACTCTGAAACAAAATTAAAAGTTTAGATCGACTTAGGAAGAATCTCCTAAGTTAATAATATGGTATTTGTTGATGTTTATTTATTAATTTGGAAATTCTATATTCATATTATTGTTTACATATAGAAGGATATACATATATTTTAATAATATGTTAATGATGTTTATGTTTAAAGTTGTGTGTCCTGTAAGTAGGAGGATGGCCATGTCATTTCCCAGGGACGTGACGATTCTAATTTCGAAAAAACCTCCAAGAGAAAGAGAAGCGTAAATCTAGAAAGAACAACATATAATGTTGGGGGTATGATCCAAGATTTTGGGAATGTGGTTAAAAATGAAGAGAAAGCATAAATCTAGAAATAACAACGCTTGGGGATGATAAAACATTTTGGACGTGTGGTTAAAAATATGGGGAATAATTCTCCTTGTGATGGTGCATCATGCCAGGAAATCGGAAAACCACATCAAAATGTGGTTCATAATCATGGCTTTACCTATTTCAAGGAATTCGGATTTGTTGTTCAAGAGTATATAATTGAAGCACTTTGAGCTTCTTCAGATTTCATTACTTCGTTGATGATGCACTGTCAGTTGCAGTTCAAAAGAGAAAACAATCATCTTTAAGGATTAGGATGCGAGACGTTCAGTTGTGGACAGCTGATGATGATCCCCCGTTGCTGAAACTGATAGATGTAATTTTTATGTTTTGACTTCCCATAAAGTTGCAAAGGAAGACCCACTGTAATACTTGCTTTCAAAATTCAGTAAAGATGTTTTAAAAGCAAATTGGAACTTCGCTCTTGTGACCAAAAAAAAATGCTGTTTCGAAAAAAGTTTATAAATCCTAAAGGGTTTCTAGTTTCAGATATTTTTGCATGTCATTTCTTTGATTTTTCGCAAACTGTATTGGCTATGATAGGTGAGATTGACGTGTTGTACAAATGCAGAGTAAGAGATGCTGCACCATAGTAATTAGGAAAGAACTTTCATATGTTTTTGGTTGCTGCTGCCGGAGGCTGGCAACGGCGAGGAAAGAAGGAAACAAAGAAAGACCACAAACAAAGGAAACCATCACAAGACTATTAGAAATCAAAGCAAGATGCCCAAAGCCAAATAAAAGAGTACAACACAGAAGCGATCTAATAGTGACATTGTATTGAAATCCTCGGATAGGGTTGTAACTAAGAATGAATAGTTCATGACTTGATGAAATACATGTCAATTAGATTTGTGCGTATGATCAAATTTGTGGCAATAATTCATCGTGTCCTAAAACCCTCAAAATTGGTTGCTCACTAAGCATCAAATATTATATGCGCCACGCTATTGGATATGGGAATTAGTAAATGCCTTCATGCACATAAATTTTCCTTGGGAAATCCTGCCGTACAATCCCCTGCGAAAAATTCGATCTTCTACTCTCGTTTTAAATTTTTGATTTACCTTTGCTTCAGTAGATATAGCTTGATAGTTTGGATGACAAATTGAGAAAGTTCTCTTAGCTAAAGAGACAGTCGGACAAGAAAAGAAAAGAGATGATCTCTACTTTCTCTATGGATGTTCGGGAGTTCGAGGTTTTGCCAGACAATTCTCCTATTTGCGCGATAGGGTTTTGGTGATTGGTTTGGTAGGATCATGGCATTTTTTAGGTTGTTTTCTTTCCCGGAGTTCTTAAAGTTCAAGCTGGTGCTAGACATGCTGATGCCCTGCATGAGCGCCAATAAGTATTTACTGTAAATGATTTTAGGTAACTTTTGAACATGGTTTTGTGAAAATATAAGAGATTGCCTCGGAATTCCTCGAACTCCCGAGCGCGTCTCTTTTGCATAAAAAGTAAAATGAAGATAGTACTCCCCATTTGTCGTCCAAATTTATCAAAGAACATGATATCTACTGAAGCAAATGTAAATCAAAGATCCTAAAACGAGAGGAGAAGAGGGGAATTTTTCAGTAGGCAATTTGTTTACTCTGAGAAGGGAGCCCTCCTGGCTAGATCTAGAGATGCAAAGAGATAATTTCACGAGCTCGCTCTGGATAAAAAAATGTGGTTAACATTCAATGCTCTGTTTCAATTACGCGAAATTTCAATAAGTTTGCTAGGGATGACTCGCTGAGACAAACTCTGGGTCTGTTATGGACCAATTGATCCCAATAGTTTGATCTAGAGCCCGCACATTGGATGGTCAAGCTCGCTTGACTCATGGTGGACCCGATTTAGACAAAATTCCCCCCTTTCTCAAGGGGAGGCTCGAGGAGCGAATTAAGACGTCGCAATCTCTCAGGCCTTGAATCTTTGCCCTGGACCAGCAAGTTGAAGCCGCCTCCGCCTCCAATGGTAATGTCATTGCCTCCTCCATGCTATGTGATGTTTAGAGAGAGAGAGAGAGAGTGCCTACACTAGCTGGACAAGCTCTTAAAACAGAGTTATTTTCACGGGAACTTCGTTCGCTCTCGACATCTTATAAAATCTTTCAACTGCTTATAAATTGGAAGAGATATCTAATACAAATTTTGATCCATAGTATTTGCAATGAATATCGAATGCCTAATATAGAGATTACACGTCTTCAAAATGTTCCATGATTTAGGCTAGTTAATTTCCCGATGGACAAATTTCTCAAACACAATTCTAACATTTAAGGAGGAAAAAAAGATTATTGTCATGATTTATATAAAAACAATATCTCGAGTATTAAAAATATGTTGATTTTTAGCGAAAAAAATATATATATATCTTGAGTTAGAATTTTGAATCATCGTGATACACTAGCAAACCCTTATCTCCATCTCTGCTCACCTTCTCAACTTCAATCGGTCCTAAAACTAGGAGATTATAATGATGAAATTGCACAAGTCATAACAATCCCCTCAATTATTTTATGAGTATTTATACGTACGTACGTACGCATGTATGTATATAATCGTTCGTTCGTTCACGTGGACGCATCTTTCGTGCAAAAGGGGTGCACGGTATGGACGAGGATGCGCCCCCACCTGACTCGGCCATTGACGATCCACAAGATCACGCCGCGGAACACGACGGCAGATCCCACCAACAAGCGACCGAATCGCACTGGCCCCCAGAAATGGAAGATGCTTTCGCATATTCGTGTCTCGTCCGACATCTCCTCCCTCGCTCTCTCCCTCTCTCTCTCCATAATCACATCCCTCGCACTTGTCGTCTCGCGTATGAATGCACCGGCCCGTTTCACGCACCGTTCGCCTTTGCACTGACCTCACTTCACGGACGAGAGAGCACACGGTTCGAGCAAAGAGAAGGAGCAAAGATGTGCGTGGTCCTGTCTCGGGCCGAGCAAGAACAGCTGATCGAGAAGCTCCAGGTCTTCAAGATCAAGGGCCGGGACAAGCGCGGCCGCAAGATCCTCCGCATCGTCGGAAAGTTCTTCCCAGGTAAAAAGATCCCCCCGTCGTCTAGTTCGGGCACTTGACGAAGTCCGAGAATGTGATTGTTTCTCGTCGAACGTAACGCTGGAAAACTTTGATTCCCGGCATGCATCTTCAGTTGTCGCTAGACTGTTCACATCTAGATAGGAAATTGGATCTTTGCAACGACACAAGGTCATGGTTAATTCAATCGCGAGAACTAAGAGCTACTGGAAGCTTACTGATTACGATCGGTTTCTGCGACGCGCGAGCGAGAGATTTAACTGGTGTAATGTTGGTTGGTGTTGATCATCAGCTCGATTCCTGAGCGCCGAGGTATTGAACGAGTACCTGGAGGAGAAGATCTATCCGAGGCTGAGCAAGAAGCGGTTCAGCGTGGTGTACGTGCACAGCGAAGTCCAGAGGAGCGACAATTTCCCCGGGTTCTCGGCCCTCCGATCCATCTACGACTCGATCCCAGCCCAGATCAAGGACAACCTCGAGACCGTCCACTTCGTCCATCCCGGCCTCCAGGCCCGCCTCTTCTTCGCCACCTTCGGCCGCCTTCTCTTCACCGGCGGGTGAGTAACGAACCGGAATACATTCCGGTCATGTCCAGTGGACGTCGAATCGGTTTTGAATCCAATCTGCATTGCGTTTTCGAATGAAACACGAACAATTTGACTGCTAAGTGAAAGACGAAAGACAAGGGACACACCAGCTCCTAACACGGGTTGGTTACTGTTGTCCCGTGGCAGGTTGTACGGGAAGCTGAACTACGTGAGCCGGCTCGACCTGCTGTGGGAGCACGTGAGGAGGGGCGAGATCGAGATCCCGGAGTTCGCGAAGGAGCACGACGAGGATCTGCAGTGCCGTCCGATGATGGACTACGGCTTGGAGAGTGACCACGCTCGGGTCCACGGCGCGCCCGTGGCGGATTCGACCGTGTCCATGTACTCCATGCGGTGTATCTCATGATCGTAACCGTGTCGTGCCATAATAAGCAATGGTAGATTTCCATAAGTAATAATAACAACAATTCTCCCGATCCCGATCCCGATCCCAATCCCGATCCTATTTCCTAAGGCTATAGGAGGAGACCAGTTCTTCTACATTTATCCCTCGTCCTCATCTCCAATTTCCCTAATTATATTCTATGCGATCGTTACATCGCATAACAGTGACAATGGAGTATAATCGAGCAATCACTATTCCCCGCATGCCATGGATTTCATTTTAATTAGCGCCACGGTTATATTATTGTCAACCGTCACGCGAAAAATTCCCTGTAATAATTTAAATCACGACTCCTATTCATTGGATACTCTACTAAAAAGAGAACCCACGCACCCCTCTCATTCTCCACGGCCCTGCATGAGTGCCTTGATTTGGCCTTATCCAGCTCATATTCTATGGCCGTGTTGGTCAAGCACACGTCAATGTAAGGTAGGGGTATTTTGAAATTTTGAAAATTTTCTTATTGTGTAATTTTTAGATGATGACATTCTATTCATGTCTACTCGTGCTGGAATAAATAATAATATTATTTATCCAAATTTCTTATAACGATATATCCAGATTAGGAGCCGATGTTGCCTCCATGGCTGTGAGACTCGACGCACGTGAGGCGCCATCGAGACCGGCATCAGGTTGAGAGAGGCGGATTGGGGAAAAGACTGTGAGAAGACTGCTGACAAGCGACGGTGGCCAGGTTGAATGGTGCGGCGCTATACTGCCGGAGGGGACAGCGGGAGAGGAGGCGTGGTGGTCGGTCCGGCGCGAGGCGGCAAAGGGGGGTCAAGAGGAGAAAGGTAGAGAAGAGGGAGCTTGCGTGCTAGGGTTTGGTGGGACTTGGATTAGGTGTGGTTAGATCAATAATTGGTTGAACATGAGTCACGATTGCATGGACCAGACAAATCAATGGGTCGCGATGGGGACAGCCTGTCTGCATCCAAACCTAGTGTCCCAGTCAGAAAAAACCTAAATTATTCGATGGAGTGATAAAAAAAGTCAAATTTATAACCTTATCAATTGGCCTTTCTTTCCTTTACGCGTGGGTAATTTACAAAATTCCAAGCAAGTCAAGATAAAAGAGAAGAAGGAAAAGATTCATCAATTATCATGCGCATGCACATGACCGTATGGCCTTCCTTAACCTCTCCTCTTTTAGGGATGTCTGCATACTTCACCTCATCAAGTCTTTGAAAGAAATCGAGAGACAAGTACTAAAAGAAGTAATAAAAAAGTCCTTGATGCTTAAGCTTCTCTTGGATTTGAGGAGAAAAATACTTTAAAAATATTTTAAATTTATTACACTTATATCAATTCAATCTTAAATATTTTAATTATATCAATTCAATCCTAAACATTTTTTTACGTTTCGCCAATTGAACCTATCCTGTCAATTTAATCCAGAAATTATTGATGCAAACACTGGTCATCCTGTATGACATAGCAGACGCTGATGTATACATTTTTTAAATAATTTTTTTGGTTCTTCTTTTCTTTTGTTTACCTTTTTTTATTGAAAGCCCACTCTCGCCGACCACAAGCGAGGGCCAGGATGCCTTTGTCAGCAATGGGCGAGGGCGTCATGGCCCTCACCAAATCTGGGTGAGGGATAGCGTGCCCTCACTTTGGCCAACAAAGGCATCCGGGCCCTCACCTTGGCCCTTACCGGCCACAGCGAGGGCATTGAAAAAAAAAGTAAGAAAAAAAAGAAAAATTCAAAAAAATATTTTATAAAAAAAAACGTCAATATTAGTATCGATCGTGTCACGTAGGACTGTCAATGTCTATGTTAGCGATTTTCAACTTAAATTCACCAGATGAATCTAATTGACAAAATGTGAAAAGGTTTCGGATTAAATCGACACAATTAAAAGATTTGGGACTGAATTGATACAAATACAATAAGTTTAGAATCTTTGTGGTACTTTTCCCAAGATTGAGCTAGCCGGCTTTGCATTCACAAACTCGAACGAGGAGCTGATCACGCTCACATGGGGGAAGGCAGGGCGCTCAAAGGGCTGAAAATGGAGAGGACGTTGCCCGAGCGTTCGCCTTGTGCATGCTTCTAGTTCCTGATCGAAGGAAATCGGTCCGTGAAGACCAAGGTGGGACACGATCTGGCTTGTCTCGTAGCTTTGGGACGCAAAAGTCCAAGGAAACTTCCCACCAAAATAAGAGAAACTTGGGGATCAAAGTTGGGCCGACGATGAGCTACACGCTCGTGGGTACCAAAGTGAAGTCCTTTCGAGGAAAAAACAGGAGAAAGGAGCGACGGCATCACCTTTGACCATTTCTTCTTGTTGGTGACCAATAGATAATTTTAGTTTCGTTTCGTTGAAAACAAAGCTCTACTATGATTTTCTTTATTTCATGAAAAATAAAATTTTTAAATTTTTTCTTTATTACTTTTTTATTTTTGTAAGTAATTCAGATAATTATTTTTTTAAATCATTTATTTTTTACAAAACAAACGAATCGCATTTCGAGCAGGAATGTCGCCCAACATTCCAAAACTAGCCGTCGCCTCATCAATTGTTGAAGATGCAAAAAAAAAAAAATTAATTTTGAGTTTTTTTTTATCGGATTTTAATTTAGAGTTGGGTTAAATGAATAAATGGACAAGCTACATAAAACACAAATTGATTTTTCTTCTCCTCTTTCGAGGTCGAAGGCTACAGCCAACCCTGGCGGGGGGCTGTCGCGGCAAGGAGGTGGTGGAAGGGAGAGATGCGGGCTGGGGCGCTCATGAACGCGGGGGGGCCTGCTGGGTGTCGTCCTCGGTCGGAGGGGAGGTGCTGGGTTGCCCGACGACACGGTGGCGCTCGGACGGAGGTGGGGCTGCGCCGGCCGCGTGTGCCGATGGGTCCTGTGGTCGCGGCGATGGGCGATGGCAAGGTGATCGAGCCCGGTCAAAGTCAACTCATTTTTATCATATAAGCAACAAAGTCCCTTATTCCTTATTATATAATAATATAACGGAAAGCAAAATAAAGTAAGCCACCAGTCACGACTGCTCATCTCCTACACCGCCCCTGTTCCTGGTCCTCTGTCTCTACCTGCAAGATGGAGAACACAGTCCCATGGTCCGATCTCCCCAAGGAGCTCTGGTGGATGATCGCGAAGCGGCTCGACACCCCCACCGACGTCCGCCGATTCCGCAGCGTCTGCTCTTCCTGGCGCTCCCTGATCCCTCCGCTCCCCCACCACAACAACCCTCCTCTGTTCCCCCTGAAGCTCCCTCTCCGGCCGAGCCAAAAGCACGCCTTCGTCACTCAGTCCACGCTCTACCGCCTCCAGCCGCCGGAGGAATCCGGCCCGGCCTTTGGCTGGCTGGTCAAGCTCGAAGAATCCGGGGAGCCGGACCGTCCGCTCCGCCTCCTGAGTCCGCTCTCGAAGCAGCCCATCAAGTACAAGCCCGGTTCCTTTCCTAACGTGTTGAACACTTTGGACTTCAGGGTCACTGAGGTTGCTAAAGAGTACGCCGTCGAGGTCGATGACGGGGTCAATTTGCGCCGTGTGGCGAAGGTAGCTTTGTTCCCCGATTCGGCGTGGGCCGATGCAGGGGAGTGTACGGTAGTTGGGATTCTTGAAGGAGGGAAATTGGGGTATTGGAGATATGGGGATGAGGATTGGAGTGTGATTGAAGGCCAAGGTTGTCATTTTGATGATGTCATGATCTACAAAGGGCAGTTCTATGCTGTGGATGGGCTTGGGACCGTGTCGTGGATCGACCCGTCTTTTCGGGTCGTGCAGTTCTCGCCACCCATGTGTGGCGGTGGCGACAGGAAGCACCTGGTGGAGTCGGGTGGCGACCTCTACGTGGTGGACCGGTACCTTGAGGGGAGCGGTGTGACGAGGTACCGGAATAACCGGGAGGTCGGCAAGGAGACGGTTAGGTTTAGAGTGTATAGGTTGGATCAAGAATGGGGCAAATGGGATGAAGTGAGGAGGCTCGGTGATGTGGCCCTGTTTCTGGGTGATCACAGTTGCTTCACAGTGTCTGTGCAAGAGTTTGGTGGGTGCATTGGGAACTGCATTTACTTCACTGAGTTGAATGATTTATATGGTGCTAAAGTTCATGTCTTTTGCATGGAGGACCATAGCATCAAGAGGGCGGCGTTCTCGCCGGATTACTTGAGGATCCTGTGGCCGCCTCCGGCTTGGATCAGCCCCAGCCCATGCCCCCTGGATCCGAAAACTATTTGGCCAGTTTTCTAGTTCGATCTGGAACGGTTTCGATTTCGAGCCGAATTGGGTTTGTAATTCGATTTCGAGTATGAATGAAAAGTGAAGTTGTAATCGCTTCGTGAGATATTGAGAATCCATATTCTGTTGACTTGCTGAATTTCCTTATGCCTTGGTATGCTCTGCACATTAGTACCTTATTTATTCCAAATTGACCGAAAAATTGGGGGTTATCACTTATCAGACAGAAAACTCTTTACGAGCAGAGAATGCTTAATGCAGACAATTGCTCGCTACTGGAAAGACATAGCGGAGATGGGTCGGGGGAAATATCATGTAGTTATCCTCAATTTTCTACCATGATCAACATTATAAGCAGATGCGGATGGAGTGATGGTTTGGAGTATCACTCATGAGCACGCACGGCGAAGGAAAAATCATGGAAGAAGTCTAGAGAACAACACACGGGCGACTCGGTCGCCATCCGAGCCGCCCGTGCCTCCTGGACCGGAAACATATGAAGCCGGTTTTCTAGTGAGTTTCGGGACACAGTCAATTCCGAGAAGATTTCCTCTTGTAATTAGGTCTGAGGGAATTTGTAACTGGTTTGTGAAAGAAAAGGAATCATAACATGTAGTCTGCCAGTTGTGACTTGTGAGATAATGGGAAATTTCTATCCTGGTAGCTTCCTCAATTTCATCACGCATCTGTTCCAAACTCGGCAACTGGATCCAAACTGATTGATAACACTGAAAAGTTGCACAACTTGAAAGCGAGACCGTATCGCGGTCACGGAGAAGTGTTGGGTTATAACGTGTAATTTTCCTCATTTTCATACCATGATCAATGTAATAAGCAGTTACAAATTGGGGTTGGATGCGTCTCAGCTCCGGAATTT